ATTTGATTCCTGTATACTCCTATAGGAATTTATATTTGGTGCACCCTTCAAGTACATTCAGATTATTAAAATCAATCCAATGTATACAGAGTTGTGCAGAGAGCAAAATAAATATATGTATGATGCATGTTTATGTGTATATATATATATATATATATATATATATATATATATTCGCATATACCTTTTCTACACAAAAAGTGTCTTAGAAAATTTAAATCAATATATTGTTTTCTGTGAATGAGTGAGTAAGATGATTTTCACATAATTTTGAAGCAAAAACTCTAGACTTCAAGATCTGTTCTCAAAAGTCTTGTGATCAAATGTTCTGTATGTGTTTTATGGCCTTATTTCAGCGACTTTAAAATTGTCGTTTTTCACTAAGCACGCTTAAACGTTGTTTTCTCAAAAACACAATCACGTACATACATGCTGGTTAATATGGGAGTGGAAAAAAAATACGCACCACATATGCACTGCAAACGGAGTATGTGTGAAACAGGCGTAACACGATGGCCTGCTCTGTTTGCTGAAAACATACAAAGGACGAGAACCAAAGATAAATAAAGGGACAAAAAAAAGATAAATCAATAAATCTGTTCGTTTTTTTCTTGAAAGTAAAGTAAAGGACAAATTAAAAACATTGTAAATATGTTTAGTCATTGTAGTAGTAATAACTGGCTGTTTTTGCAAAAAGAGTTTAATGGCCAGTAAAAAAAATTTTTTGGCCGGTAAATTTGATCACATCACCGGCCATTGGCAGGTGTGGCAAAAAGTTGGTTTTAGGCCCTATATGTGCATATATATATATATATATATATACAGTATATGTGTGTGTGTATGACAAGATACACTGCCTCTCTCCATGTATATATCTGCACATACTGTATAAAGACATTGGCAGACGTAAACATGTTACAATGGTAGACATTGTAAACAGACTATGTGGTCACAATTATGAATATGGGACTACTGATATAAAATTCTTGTATTTTTTATGTACAATTAAAAAAAACATGAAAAAAAAGTAAAACATTTTAAGTTTATATTTCATTTCAGTTTCTGAAATTTGTTTTCTATCTGAAATCTGATTTCTATTTTAATATATTTTAAAATGTAATTTATTTTTTGTAGATACCATTTACTGTAGATATCGATCAATTTTATGCATCCATGCTGAATAAAAGTATTAGAACTTTTGAACAGTATTGTATTTTCGACATGGTCCAGAATTGTAATATTTGACCATAACCATTCAGTGACGTTCACCTGCTATGTATGTTGTGCCATTATGTCTTTATGTTACGACCATATATTAAATGTGCATTGATGACTATTGACTACTATTGAGCTACTGGCATGTGCACATATACCTGCACACACAGACTAACACACAGACTCATAAGTGGTGAGTCAACAAACTGTCGAATTATGTAAAACAGCACACAAGCACTAACGGAGCAAACACACACATACATTCACCCACCCACCCACCACATGCTGGGAGCCTGTGGGGCACTGCTAAATAACGAGCCAACACATTGGTCTATCCCAGTTAATGATTCTACACAAACTTCCCGTGGACAGAGCAAGCAAGGAACATTAGATCAGGGCATGTATAAATACAGCCCTAACGAAAAACCTGGCAAACCGGCGAGATAAGGGCTGCATTTTTTTTCACATTCACTGGTTACACAAAGCCCAGATGATTACCTCTTTTACATGAGCGTCATCGAAGTAAATCCACTTGCGGATTTTGGTTTGGAAGAAGAAAGTAGAGTAGTGTTTGCCATAGTAACAGACCACGCCCACCAGGTAGAGCTCCGCCTGTTTGGCCTTGTCCTCTGTCACTCGGTAGAACAGCTATGGGTGAAACGAAGGAGGAGAGGTCACTTATTACTCATAAATACATACACACCACTCTTGATCTCTAGATGTATTTCAGTTTAAAGTAATCATTCGTTTGGGCCTTTTAAAACGGTTTACATTTCACATTGAAACATGAACACAGTACTTTGTGAAATGCGAACCGGTGTCCTAAGTAAGCCTGAAATCAGTGGCAGACAGTTTCTTTTATGTGTGAGTCCTTGTCATTGACACAACAAGTTTGATAAGTTCTGCCTGTAAATCCCATGTGCATCACAGTGGTCTCAGAGTTGCAGCACTGCTGTTTTGAGCAGACTCCATTTATTACCATCCATAACATTCAAAAGCTTCTGTTTTCAGCTGTGGGTATGTTCATCTATCAACTGATTTATGTCAGCAGAATTGAGTGTAGTTTGTGGGATATTTTAACTTATGGCAGGGAGCATGTCTTACATCTCCGAGCCGCAGGACGGTGCCCAGGCTATGAATGACGTCTTCTGCCAGGTCAGAGTGGTCTGAGTCCCACACCAGGCCAATGGTGATGATCTCTGGGGAGTTCATAAGGACACGTCGAATACGGAGCTTCTCTCCACAGTTGCCCTGTAGATGAGAAAAACGTAGAGGAAAAAAAAAAGGGCTTTTTTCCATACTGGAGCTTAATTAAACACACACATATACATTTACATTAGCCATTACCATTAATTCCCATTCCCCCTGGCCAAACTTACACAGTCACCCTAACACAGATCATAAATCACAGATGAACAACCATATTTTGTGTGTTTATATTGCATGTGAAGCATGCTGACATGATCTGTTTCAGATCTACTCACATTGTTCTTCAACTTTCAAATGTGTTCAATACATACCGAAAATCTTGCAGTAGTGTCAAATCTCAAAACATGTTTACTTCCATTAATACTAGTGAACAAACAGACCAAGCATAATATCATCTAATAATGTAATGATTCATTACTACATGAATGTCTTATATGAATAGCAGAGAAGTCAAAATTGAGTTTAGTTCGGTTTGCACTTAAAATGAAATAAATAAATAAATACTTTAAATACTAGGTTAAAAAAAAACTTGTTTTCCCTTTGAATATCAGAAGTCTCTTACTAATGCTGCATTTATTTGATCAAAATAAAAACAGTAATGTGAAAAATATTATTACAATTTAGAAACCGTTTTGTATTTTCATATATTTTAAAATGTCATTTATTCCTGTGATGTCAAAGCTAAATTTTCAGAAGCCATTACTCCAGTCTTCAGTGTCACATGATTCTTTCAATGCTGAAAACAGTTGTGCTGTTTAATATTTTTGTGGAAACCATGATACTTTTTTCAGGATTCTTTGATGAACAGAAAGTAAAAAAAAAAAAAAACAGCATTTATTTGAAACCGAAATCTTTTGTAACACTAAAAATTTTTACTCTCACTTTTAAAGGAAGTATTAATTTCATTTAAAAAAATCCTACTGACTGTAGTGTATCATATGTCATTTTGCCACTGAAGTAAATATATCTTGTTTCAAGGATGTTTAGATATTTTTGTTGGAAAACAAGACAAAAATACTGATTAAGAAAATTATTTTTTGCAATGTGATAAGCTGTCATCCCTTATCCAAGGAAATCCTGATCTGACATGAAAACAAGTGTGTGTTTTATTAAGAAGTTGGACCTCCTCAGGGCCACGAGACTTAACATTCCAATGATTGCATCCTGTTTTGACCCAACGATTACTTAATGGCCACAATCCTATTCAAACCCAGACAAGCACCACATCCACACACACACACACACACACACTCTCCCCGGCTTCATTATGCCTATTTAGCACTTGATTTGATGGAGCTGGGTGTGGTGGCGTGTGGTAATGCTAACCGGGCAGTTGCGCAGGTCTCCCACAGTGCTGGCATTCCTCAGCAGCTCTCCGAACATGTCTGGGGTGGCCTTCTCCCGGCATTCCAGCATCCGCACTGCCTGGTTACTGTAGCATAACCAACACATGTCACACATTAAGATAGCACAAGCAGCTCTCATATCTGTTTTTATGGGTGAAGTGTTTGTATTTGTTGGCTTTGATTAAGTAAACATGTAAACAGCCTATAATTACTATATGAATGTAAAAATTGAAATGGAATTTGTGACATCAACCTAAACATTTGATTCAAGTGTTTAGGTGTGTTTGTGTACAGTGTTTTTTGTATTCATGAGGTCACCATCCAGACCGGTTTGATCTTATTGTTGCAGCAGAGGTCATTGCACCTCAATGACACGGCAACACTGTGTGCCTGAAGCAAATGATACTTTTTTCAGGATTCTTTGATGAACAGAAAGTAAAAAAAAAAAAAAACAGCATTTATTTGAAACCGAAATCTTTTGTAACACTAAAAATTTTTACTCTCACTTTTAAAGGAAGTATTAATTTCATTTAAAAAAATCCTACTGACTGTAGTGTATCATATGTCATTTTGCCACTGAAGTAAATATATCTTGTTTCAAGGATGTTTAGATATTTTTGTTGGAAAACAAGACAAAAATACTGATTAAGAAAATTATTTTTTGCAATGTGATAAGCTGTCATCCCTTATCCAAGGAAATCCTGATCTGACATGAAAACAAGTGTGTGTTTTATTAAGAAGTTGGACCTCCTCAGGGCCACGAGACTTAACATTCCAATGATTGCATCCTGTTTTGACCCAACGATTACTTAATGGCCACAATCCTATTCAAACCCAGACAAGCACCACATCCACACACACACACACACACACACTCTCCCCGGCTTCATTATGCCTATTTAGCACTTGATTTGATGGAGCTGGGTGTGGTGGCGTGTGGTAATGCTAACCGGGCAGTTGCGCAGGTCTCCCACAGTGCTGGCATTCCTCAGCAGCTCTCCGAACATGTCTGGGGTGGCCTTCTCCCGGCATTCCAGCATCCGCACTGCCTGGTTACTGTAGCATAACCAACACATGTCACACATTAAGATAGCACAAGCAGCTCTCATATCTGTTTTTATGGGTGAAGTGTTTGTATTTGTTGGCTTTGATTAAGTAAACATGTAAACAGCCTATAATTACTATATGAATGTAAAAATTGAAATGGAATTTGTGACATCAACCTAAACATTTGATTCAAGTGTTTAGGTGTGTTTGTGTACAGTGTTTTTTGTATTCATGAGGTCACCATCCAGACCGGTTTGATCTTATTGTTGCAGCAGAGGTCATTGCACCTCAATGACACGGCAACACTGTGTGCCTGAAGCAACATCGCAACTCAGGCAGATTTCAGGGAGACAGCCATGCCAATGTCACAATGTTACCTGGACAGGCTCCTCTGAGTGAGAATGTGTGTATACAAAAAATATCTTAAACATAGTTATTCTCACTGATATTAAAATATAAACATCAAATATAATATTATAAAAGTCTAAAATCTTCTACTTCAGAAATTTTGCCTGGTTGATAGCCAAGTTTGAAGCTGTTATTCAGATATGCGTACATCTTTGACTGAGCATCAGTTGAATTTTATATTAATGGGCAAAGTTGCCACATTCATTGGTAATAATAAACAGCCTGCATTAAGGCTAATAAACAGTTTTAAAGGCATTTGAACTGTATAAAAATATAATTCATGCAATACTGCAAAATAAATAGTATGGATTTTTCATTATTTATTATTTGTATTATTAACAATAATAATAATAATTTATTATTACCATTAATTTAATGTTACGTTGTTAAGTTGTACCATGTTAAGTAATTTAAAATAAGTAGTAAAACCTACTACTTTTTTCTCAAAACTTGTGTGTTAAGTACATTTGTTCTCATTAGAACATTGAATAATTCCTTTTGTGTTGCATGTATTGTAACTCATTTGAACCAGCACTATTTGTATAACTAATTTCCTGCCTATGTAGACGGCACTTAACATTTCATGTAGGCAATAGGCAGCAGGTAGTGAGGGAGATCACTAGGGCTGGGGAAAAATATAGATTTCTCGAATTTAAATAAATTCAAATTTTTATGAAATGATATTGATTCATAAATCCCAAGAATCGATTAGTCTAGCCTGTCAGATAATGAACGGAACATTGTAGCGCACCTCCCATCCAATAAATTGCAATAAGCTTTGTGATTTGTTACTTTTGATATGAAGCAAAGTCTCAGATTTCAAATTCTGTCCATTTTATTACAATATTCAAATATTAAATGCCGTTTTAATGCTGTTTAATGTGGAGTAACAGATCGCTGTGAACTGATCGTCTCCTCCGCTTTAATAGCAGTTACAGCATGGAATATGAAAATGAAATGATAATCCGAAGGTATGTTAAAAGAAAGAGTACAACTTACCGAAATCCGTCTCCTGTCTCATGTAATCGTGCAATCAATGTTTCAAACGCGGAAAGACAACAATAGCTTGTAAACAATATGTCGCGTAACGTCACATTTACCTCAGAAAAAAACATATTCGATGACCATGAACTCATTAGTCTGCTAGAAAAATGAAATCTAGACAGGAGCATTTAGCTAAATATGGACCATATAACATTTCATTATAATTTTTTTTTTTTTACTGTTCTTCAATATTTAAATTATGTTTGAATAAATCCGTCAAGTTTTTCTGACAACCACCATTAAATGTTTATATTTCAAAAAACGAATTGGAGTAGAAATATAATTATGCAATTTAAAGTTAAAGTTAGTATTAAAACTTTAATATTACAAAAACTTTCTTGAGTATATTGTGTTTGTATACAAATCAGCAAATTTCAACCTTCCATATTATTGACTCTCATATATTTTACAGCATTAGTTGAGATTTTTTTTTTCCTTGAGAAAATTTGCCATGTCCTGTACCTGATATATATCCAAAATAAACGATATTGAATCAAATCGAATCGAAATCGGAATTGAATCAAATCGCAAGCTTGAGAAGAATAATCAAATCGAATTGGGAAATTTGTGTCAAAACCCAGCACTAGAGATCACTAGGTTTTGAAACAGAGATAAATGGCTTAGCTAAATAATTTTTAATTTTTTTATCCATTGGTTGCAATATTTGGGGTGGGACGACAGTAATCTGGTTCAAAGACACAGGGAGCCAATGTCCTTGTGCAGACGAAAGCGCTTCTCCACTGCAATGTCAGTTATTATCATAAAAATCCTCCTTAATCACAGAGCTGCATGCTGGAATATTCATGCAGTCCTTTCATCGCTGTTGTGCTTATGACTGTTTGTTCCCGACGTTAAGTATCTGCTGCACTGGCAGGCTGAATGCAGTAATCCAGACTGCGTCTGCAAATGCGCAGCTCTAAAAGCAGATGCTGACAACGTTTGACTGCAGAGGTTCAAGGGGAGCTGCTCTAATGCGAGGCTCTGCTTTGTATCTGGCCGCTCACCATCCATGATTAAAAGCAGTGGCACTGCTGTCCAGAAGACCTAGAGTAATATTTAAGATGGCTGTTGCCATGTGCTCTTGGCCATTGAGGGAATCTCTCTCTGTTCTGACTGATTTCACTGTGTTTGATGTGGCAGAGAGCTCATTTGCTCAGCTGGAGAAGAGTATAGGACATGATGTTTTCTGTGCCATACACCGTGTGGCCCTTTTTGGTCCCAGCTTTCAAAATGACCTCATTCTTTAGCATCACTCATTTTTGTGTGTGTGCAAGTGCTGCAGGAATGATTTTGCTCACCACAGAGAGGTGGTGGAGATGTAGTGGACCATCTGAATGAAGGGCAAGGGGTCTGAGGAGGCTCCACAGTTGCTGCACACACACTAAATGAGAACAAAAAACAATATCTGGTAAATAATCTTTTCTATTCAAATGGACATAGTGGTAAACATTTTATATTAAAAACTAGGTGTATTAGGGTTCCCACACCTTCTGACACAATTGATGCACATATCATGATGCAGATATCACTTACAAAGAGGTATTTCTAAGTGAGCAAAAAAATGTACATACATTTTTGTGCATGATACATCAATGCATGTTATTATGAAAGAGAAATGATCAATGCTTACAGGTGCATCTCAATAAATTAGCATGTCGTGGAAAAGTTCATTTATTTCAGTAATTCAACTCAAATTGTGAAACTCGTGTATTAAATAAATTCAATGCACACAGACTGAAATAGTTTAAGTCTTTGGTTCTTTTAATTGTGATGATTTTGGCTCACATTTAACAAAAACCCACCAATTCAACAAATTAGAATACTTCATAAGAACTTCATACTTCAATAAAAAAAACATTTTTAGTGAATAGTTGGCCTTACTTAAACTACTTCAGTCTGTGTGCACTGAATTTATTTAATACACGAGTTTCACAATTTGAGTTGAATTACTGAAATAAATGAACTTTTCCACTACATTCTAATTTATTGAGATGCACCTGTATTTATCAAAAAATATTAAAAATACATTTACTGACATGTGCAATGTAGACAGGTCAGACCATGATCCAATCAAATTCTGATGTATAATTTACCATTTTCAATTTTCTACCAACAAATATGTCATTCAGAAATATGTCCCATTATGGAAGTTAAATGCATTGCGAATGGGTTTCATATTGTCTTCAAAAAGATTGCTACTTGTTAATAAAGAGGCTTCACCTGCTCAAAGAGTGTCATGGCAAACTTCTGGTGAGGGATGCAGTGTTTGGCCGTGCAGATGTCCTCCTTAGTCTCATCAGAGATGTGAAAGTGGATCCTCATGAGGATATTCTCCTGTGAGAGAAACTTATTGCTTAATTATTACCAATCAGTGTGCTTGAATCCAAATCCCACTTAAAAGAAATGGCATGCGTCTGTCCTGCATGTCTCATGTTAATTGATTCTCACTGTCCAGTGGGTGTGTACTGAATCTGTGAATAACAGCATGCTCAGCCCTTTTGGCTGAAGGATATGGCTGAGGATGTTGGGTTGGGGGAGGTTTGTGTTCTGTAGGGAGATGTTGAAAGTTCGCTAAGCAACTGCCCTTTACCAGTGTCTCCAGTCTTGCATAATGGCCCGACAACAATAGTGGTTAAGGGGGGAAAAAATGAACATTTGCAGTTTGTGGTTGCAGTTCTTACTGGTCAGCACATTGTATGATGTTGCTAAACCAGCAGTCAAGAGAGGCAGAGACAGGGAGCTAGTGTTGTCAAAAGACCCAGTATTTCGGTACCAAGTCGGTACTAAAAAAATGAAAACGTTACGGTACCAGGTTTTTTTTTTAAGTACCGGTGGTACAGAGTACCCGGTCAACCCGGTTCTTGATGCGCTATCCGAAAGGTGCGCAGATGCGCTCTCTTCATAAAAGCACTGAGACGTGGCGACATCAAATGCGCTTATTTGATTACAGCCGTTACTGGGGAAACCTATATCTCTCCCGCTCTACAAGCGCCTCCTGCAGGCAGAGAATGAATTTGCATATATATGCCACCACAAATAGAGTGCAAGTCTGTGGGGAAACACCGCTTCTGTTATGAATATTATTCAATATTTTAGAGCCATTCTTTATCTTATTCTTTATGATGCTATGGCCTTTAAAATGAGCCATTAGGAGGAAATTAATCACTGTACAAAATAGGAGATGTGTGTCTGAGATTACAAAAGATTACAGCAAAGGTTTAAACAAGAAGGTTTACATTTTTGTACTATCAAGCTTCCTGCCAAGAGACAAGAGATAAATATTGACAAGAAAGCAGACATGCAACCAAAAATGACAGGGAAGGACAGATAGAGATACAGGGCAAAGAGGATATCAAACATCTTCCTTTTACTTGCACTGGTGGACTCAAGATATAGCTGAGCTAACAATGTTCACAAGAAATCTGTCAGACTGCGCAACTTCCTCTTCAAGAAAATCTACCTCTTGAGCAGAGTGTCTAATTTGGCATGTGAAAGCATAATAAAGAGTATGGAATAAACAAGGACATGGATGTAAACAGGAGGGAAAGCAGTAACACTCTATAGGGGTGGAAAGCTTAAGGGGCGATGGTAAAGAGTCAAGAGCCCTTACAAAGCACTCGGCAGCGTCGTCCATAATGCCGAGCTGGAATCGCTGCTCATCCTGGAAGGTTTTGGCCAGAGCGCAGCGGAGAGCATCAGAAGGCAGCACCTTCTCGCTGCTGAACTGGAACTGTGCAAAAATGCTCTGAAAAACAACCACAGCTCTCGATCAACACCTCATCACACAACTTCTTCAAAAATGGGCAAAAAGTGTACCTTTATACACAGTTTGTCACTGGAGCAGTACCTCATTTACCCCTAAAAGGTTCATAGTAGTACCATAACGGCACATATTACTACTCTAAAGGTACTAATATTAGGCATGCTTGATATTAGATTTTTGCCGATATCCAATATGACGAGATTTTTCAAATCATTTAGCCAATCACAATACCAATATATATTTCCCTTTGTTTTGAAACAACACATAGGGACCCTATCATACACCAAGCGCAATGCGACGCAAGTGTTTTTTGCTAGTTTCAGCCCAACGCAGTTATCATTTTCACATCCACCGCCATGTTGTTTAAACCGCAAACGCACTTGTTCATCAATGGGCGTGCTGGTCTGAAAATGAGGTGTGTTCAGGCGCATTGCTATTTTGAGCCAACTGAAAACGATTGCGCCATTGACCAACTAAAACCTGGTCTAAAGTAAATGACGCAGTATTTTTTTTATTTATTTAAAAGGCGCGTTAGTAATATGCACCTATAGGTGGATGCACAACGCGCGTAGACACTGCTTATTACACACACAGGGACGCTCAGCAGTGCACAAACATGCCAAATATTAAAAATGAAAGGATTACAATGTAAAAGATTATTACTGTGCCCTGTAGATGGTCTGCTCGCTCGTGTGCTTTAACCTTGCGCACAAGCAGATCCGTTTCCTCTATGGAGAAGCGTTCAGTCTTTGCTCTTGCAAATCTCGCCATGTAAATAGTGAATCAGGCATGGTGCAAGCGCAACTGGCTTTAAAAGGGAATGGGAGATGAGACTCTGATTGGTTTATTGCACGTTACACCCAAAACACACCCATGACTCATTAAGAAAATAGGTACAACCCTTTTGGAACATGTGCCTGGAGCGCAGACCGTTTTTTCCGTCGTTAAACTAGCAAAAGTGGATTCGGACACGCCCTAAAGTGCACTTGCGCCGTGCGCTTCGGACCATGTGCTTAGATCATTAAAATAGGGCCTCAAGTCTCTCCTGGAAATTATAAACAAATAATTTTCAATTTTGGATAGTTTTGAGCTTAAAAACTTATTTGTTAGAACTAATAAACATTATTAAAGTTCTTTTTTAATGAGTGTACATTGAAAGTCTTGAAAATAACTAATAAAATCGATCTCTGCTGTGTTTTCTCCCCCCAGACAGATGTAGTTGAAACCTTAACATTTTATTTGTGGATTTATTAATAGACGGTCTAAAGCAAAAAAGCTGTAAAAAAAAAAAAAAAGTTTTCTTTCAAGAGTTCCTTGTATTTAAAGGGGTCATATGATGCTTTTTTAAAGATAATTATTTTGTGGAGTTGTGCTTTTAAGTCGGAATGTGAAAACCAGGGAGAACCAGAGGACAAATATTTCAATCGATCGCTCAGGCATGGCACCGAAATGAGGCACAGAAACCTGCGTTCTGATTCGGTTCTAGTACATACCGGTTACATAGGTACTGGTGCCACATTGGTACCGGGTTTCGGTACCCAACCCTAATTACATATTAATGAATAAATAATATATATTATTTAATTTACAAGCGTCATATATGTGATTTTTTTATTTTATGACATCAATTACTGCTTTATTTATTTATTCAGAAACACAAGTATCTTAATATTTGCGTATTTTACTTTAATTTTATTACAAGTAGGCCAACAGCGCCCCCTAAGTAAATGAAACGCCTTACCGGACAGGCAATAGGACCCTGGGGAGGCTGTCGCCACTGCTACTGCACGCTCTGTTGACTCTATTGCACACTGGATGCGTCGTTCTGTACTTGCATTCTCAGATTAAATGCGGCAATCCTAAACAGTGAATCATTCAGGCAAAAGTTTGCTTCAAGAATGACCACACTGCTGACGTGATCTTATCACTATCACACCCTGAGCACATTGTGAGCTATTCGTCTTATCGGCATCATTTTTTCAAATCGGTTCCGATAATATCGTGCATCCCTAACAAATATGTGCCTTTTAGGGGTAGATAAGATACAATTTTTTGCTGACAGTATACAGTGGCACTGTATAGTACACAAGGGCAGCTGATATTCAAAACAATTTAAAAGAGTAAAGAAAAAGTTTTACGATTTTGAAATCTTTTCAAATGTGATGAGAGAAAATTAATAAGATGTTTATGATTAAATTTTAGTTTTAATGTAAGCAATAATCATAATCAATAAAATATAAAATTTCTTTGTATTAAAAAAAAGTAGCACGACAAACAAAGATGTTTTGAAGAGTGTGTTTTACGAAGGAAAGAAAGTCATTCAAATGACACACCAGTGAGTAATTGCATGAATTTTCATTTTTGGGTGAACTATACTATTAAAAGCAGTCTTTTTTTCCTCTTAAGCCACATTTAAACACAGCATAATTAAGTGTCTCCTGGTTTATATGAGCATCTAAGATTTCCCATGCTGTAAAGACTTCTGTGCTGAATTAAGAAACTCCTCAGTAAACAGAGTCATTACAGGATTACAGGACAGTCTTTACTTTGAAGGCTGAAAACTATGTTATGTAACTCTGAGAGGTTGGAAACAAGAAAGGCACTGCACTTATGTCACTGACCGTGAAACATACTGGAATAAAGTCAGAAAGACACAGACAGCTGAATACAGGCAGTACCAGACCCATGAGAGAGCGCAGACAGGCTGACAGACATATTGTCCCAGTCCTGTGTGTAAGAGCAGACAGGCAGGCCCCTACTGCGCTGGCACAGGGCTCAGGAGAGAGATCTCTAATTTCCAGAGTTATTGAACTTTTGATGGAAAGCGCCAATGGCAATCCTGAACATTAGAAGGAATCTAATAAAAAAAATAAAAAAAAAAGAGTAAGGGAGGTACTGAAAAGAAACGGGATGGAAAAAGAAATGGCACAGCAAGAGCTACATACACGCAACACTGCTTGCCACGCAGCTCTAGTTAAACACGGGATGGCTAGTTTTTTGATACATATCTATTCCTTTTAATGCTTTACCATATATTCGATATTGCCAAAATACATACAATGGTCTGACAATTACTGGACAAAATGACAAAGAAGTGATTCAACACTGATTTTTATGTTTTGTATCAGACAAATGATATCCAGAACTGGTTTCCTTTAGGCTTTTTGACAAAATAACTAGGCCTAAGTAATAATTAGAATAGACATGTAAACTAGTAATTATACTAAATAAATGTTAATTATTTCTCACTTGAGAATGAATAGCTATTACATAAAGCTGAGTAACTTATGCAAACAAAACATGAAACAAGTTATTATTCTTTTGGATGCACAGTAGTGTAATGGAGTTGTTGGGTGCTGTTCTTTATAGACTTACCAAAGGGAGCTGTATATTAGTAAACACAACATTAAAAAAATAAGTTTTGGTGACCACTGACTTAAAGATATTTTGAGAAATGTCTCAGTTTTTTTTTTTGTTTGTTTGTTTTGTTTTTTTATGTTTCACAGAAGAAAGAAAATCATAAAGGTTTGGAACAACATGAGGGTGAGTAAATGATGGCAGCGTTTTCATTTGTGGGTGGACTATGCCTTTAAATTAAAAATTTTAATACATCTGTAAAAAAAAAAAAGGGTCAAGCCGATTATCTCTCTGCTTCTACAATAAAGTTTACTATTTAATATTTGATAACATTTCAGAATCTTAAAGCATATGCAGATGGCAAAAACACGTTAGCGTTCATATAAAAAAGGAAACTACTGAATTAGAAAAGCTATAATGGAGCAGAGATCCCTGTCAGCTCCATGAACTTAATGCATCATGAATAAAGTTAAAACCTGATGGACTCAGTGCTTTACCTTCAGAGCGCAGAAGATGCACGAGTCCTCCATGCACTTGTGTGTGGTGAGCTGCCGGAAACTTCGCCGGAAGATATCCAGATGCCACAGAACCTATAAGAAAAATGTGCAATTAAACGAAAGAAACGTTTACATCGTCCTCTGATCTTTGATGCTGCCTGCACATGATATGAGAGGTCTCTGAAAGGCTGAGAAAAGGTTGAATCAAGCATCAGACACTCAACACACCTTCTAAAACGAGAAGCTCTAGTCATCAAAAATGTATCAGGCTCAAAACGCACTTGCTGCTCTGCACCGCCTGCAGTTGACTTTCCACCTCTTCTTAAGTGTCTCTCTCAGAAGGGCAAGGCATCTTAAGAACAGGAGGCGGGTTGGAGATGGAGATTGTGCAAGTTGTTTCTGAAGCGGACAGACTCCTTTCCTCAACAATCTCCTAAATCCAGCTTTCTTGACACCCCGTAATACAATCTCAACCAATCACATGAGAGAAGCAATTACGTCTCACCAATCAAGTGTCAAACATCTGATAAGCCTGTGTGCTTCATCCAAGAGTTTGAAGAAACAGGGAGCAGGTTAACAAGCAGAGCAAAGTCTGAGAGTAAGATGAAGTGATGAGCATGTTTCCCAGCTTTAATCTTTCATCTTGAGGAACATATGCGTCTCCAGGTGAAAGATGATGCAGAATGTCAGCGGAACAAACAAAGACCTGCTAGCTTCCTGCTGGGCAGCTCACATGCACACACAGACACACAATCATACACACCTCCCCATCTGGCCGTGCCTGGGAGGCTACGGAGGTGACCTGACCCCACCTGCCCGCCATGAGCGGGGACTTTGTGTGCCATGGCCCCCGCTGCTCGCCCGGCGGATCTACACGCTTGCATGCTGAATTATTGAGAGAGCTGTCAGTCCCACTTAACACAACTCAGTTACCCAAATGAATCTGCTGTCTAACTTTACCTTCACAGATGTCTTAATCACTCTAATAGTGATAAAGTCTCTAAATGAACTTCAAAAGTTAGTTGGCCTATAAACCAAAACATTTAAGAGACCTACTTGTTTCAGTCAAAAGTCTTAAGCATAGCTGTCCATTTTTTTTTACTGTGAATCCCTTTAAAATCTATAGTGCTGACAGAATCCATTTCAGAGAGTAATTTCACAAATCAGAAAACATGTTTGACTGCAGTTGGTGCTGTGTGTGTCTCTCTGCACAATAAAACTTAACAGTACTCAACAGCACTGATCTCTCATGCCATTACGATCACCCTGTATGACCTCCTGCTGACGCTCTTTGCATGGCAAGTGGAACTGTAAGGGAATAAAATGTATGAAACGCAATGCTGTTTTTGTTAAAGGTGATTGTCTTCAGAAACATTTTTTGTTATGCTGGTTGAAAGTCTCTTCGCATCCCGATAGCAATCATTAAGTGGTCTAAATGTATTTATCTGTATATATATATTCTGTGGAAGGCGTAGGACCAAGAAATGTTCGTCCAATCAAAACACTCAGTCCGAGCTTTTTAATTGGCTTTCCTACCTGCCTGTCAACATATGTATTTGCATACCTCTGCTCACCAGGTTCGCGCAGACAGGATATGTCATCAGCGCGTTCACGCACGCTGTGCACACAGAGCGAGAATGGCAGACAAACATCAACAACCTGATCTTCCTTCATAGTATTGTAGTACTTTTACTAACTGTACTATAAAGTTTTGTCACCGGTGAATGACACATGATGTAGCCCAGCGGTTCCCAATTCCAATCCTCGCGCCCCCTCGCTCTGCATATTTTGCATGTCTCTCTTAGTTAACACACCTGATTCAGATAACCAGCTCGTTAGAAGAGAGCTACGTGCATGAACTGTGTTCCGATCGATATGATCCCTACACAGTGTTCATTGCTCCCTACTCCCTGAGCGGGGGAAATCCGTTGAAGTTTACTTCGGTGGGGCACGAGGACTGGAATTGGGAACCGCTGATGTAGCCTATTGTAGTAATGTTGTCTCTGGTATTCTGGTCTGTGAGCGTATATGTGTTCAGGGGGTGTGGCTTTGGACGGCGATTGCAGGGAGGGTGGGACGTTCGCTTTCAGTGCTATCAGGCTAAAGTTAGCATTTCCCAAGATCTCCTACTGCACCTTTAAAGAAAAGCCTGAATGTAAATGTTTCCTCGTGCATGAAAATGTGCTATCTGTCCATCAGAGGACTACACAATTACAAGTATTCATCATAATCAATAAACTCACTATTTTTGTTTTACTTGAAGCCTTGCCAAGCAGAGCTCAAAAATAAAGATGCGAGAGTATGTCGGGACAGATTGACAGAAGAGTCATTTGCCCTTTTGGGCCAGCTTTATATATACCTTTTTTATTGTGCATAAGAATTTTTATGCATTGCAAACTTAAACATTTGTTTTTTATGAGACGTGTGGATTCTGCATGTCAGCTTGTCTTATTTTAATAATATGATATGATTGAAACAAAAAAGCAGCATGATTTAAACTAAAAAAAGACACTCTAACTGCACTTTAGAAGAAAGAAACCGTACGATTTGTAACCAAAAACCTTATACACAACTACATACATAAAGACATTTTTAGGAGTTTTCTACAATAACCGTTGTTCTTGAAACACATTCCTGGTCTCCGGGGTGCATGTATGCAGGTCGGCAGACACACAGGAACATTCTGAGCCACTGGCCATGGAGTAGCTAGTGTGTCTATGTCTCAAGCGGTCAACATCAGGGCACAGTGTCCCCTTCTATTGATCTGACATCACTGATTTGACACTTAAGTTCTGGGAGCTCCTGTCATGCTACTGAGTTTGCCTCTGAGAATGTCTAACAACAAAATCCATCCTTTCATTTTTTTAGGTTTTATTTTATTTATTTTTATTTTTTTAGATCTGGAAATGTCCAGTAGAGTTTGTATGGGATGAGACTGGCCATATTGATGAGAAGCCTACAGGTTCTTACAAGAAGTACAGGTGTTTGCTTGACAACCTAGGTAACTTTAAAGTTACCTAGAGCTCATTAAAGCGATGTTCTGACTCACCGTCATGCTGAGGGGACTGTCTAGTCTCTGATCTGATGAATTTTTTTAACAAACACATAAATGGCAACAGAATCCTTTAGACAAGATCTTTATAAAATGGTCTTTTAGGAGAAAGGAAGTTGAAACTGATAAACCGTGGAGTCTGTTAGGGCTGAACGATTTTGAAAAATAATCTAATTGCGATTTTTTTAACAATATAGCGATTTATTATGCAATTATTTTTTAAAGCTCTTTATGTTCTGTATTATTCAACAGAGACAAGCTATAAATCATTGTATAGTATGACCAACACAATATTAGATAGATTAAACATAAATGTTCTTTTCTGTAGGCCAGGCCTATATGTTACGATGAAATGAGGTGATGCATGAATTGATATGAATGATATTTTTATTTAACAACTACAATCACAGTAGTATATTGACTGATTTGTTGAACTTTCAACCTTGTAAGCATGTAAAAGTTATGACAACATAAAGCACTGACAAATCAGCCTGGTGTAAACATTAAAGGGGTCATATGATGCAATTTCATTTTTTCCTTTCTCTTTGGAGTGTTACAAGCTCTTGGTGCATAAAGAAGATCTGTAAAGTTGCAAAGACTAAAGTCTCAAATCCAAAGAGATATTCTTTATAAAAGTTAAGAGTCAGCCACACCTACCTAAAACGGCTCGTTCTAACACGCCCCCACATATCTACCTCACTATGTGGGAAGATTTGCATAACACCGTCAGTAACAAATCCAGCTCCAGCTCCACTCCGGGTTCACCATTTCCTGCTCCCGCTCCACTCCTCGCTCACTGTTATCAGAAACACCACTCCGCGGCTAAAGTATTTCAGTATGTTTGAAATATCACAGTTCTGTTCATAACGTATATTAAAAGAAAAAAATAAAATGACAGGAGCGTTTCAAAGTGGATTATTGGAACACTAGTGTGCAAACTTTTTTCCTACCACAAGACAAGCTAATAACATGGTTGTCAGCAATAAAAGGTAGGCTATTGATGCTTTTTGCAGTGCAAATTTTGTTTGTTATTTTACCTACGGATCGCTGCATTTCTTACAGATTTCTGCTCATTCGAAATCGGATGCAGATGAAGTAGCACTGTATAAAATTACATTTGTTTGAATGCATTATTGAGAGAGCGATTGCGTGTGAATAAGTGTTGTACCCGTTTAAATTATAATTTCACCAGAAAATATTCAGTATCTAGAGGAAATAAACAAATTCCTTAATAACTACCCTATAGCTTCCCGCTATGTCCATTGCCGTCAACATAGCCTTCAAATTCTTTCTGATTTGAGTGATCCTTCTCTATAAAGCTAGCTAAATATATTTAACGTGAATTCTTGCTAAATGGGCAGTTATATTACGGGCCGTTGGCATGAATTGTACTCGTGATGGAGCGGTGGTGGAGCGCTCTTGGAGCGAATGAAAACCACGACGCTCCGACTTTTAAATATAAAGCTCCACGCTCAATTCAAAATCACACCACTCCACTCTGCGCTCCGCTTCCATACTCTGCTCCGCTCACATACTCTGCCTGGTGCTGTACCACCTTCCAAGTGAAGAGTACCAATCCGAGGTAGAAATTCCAGCCTTCTTCAAGGACCACAATCTCACCCTGGAACCTGAATTGGAACTGAGCATTGAGAAAGGGGGGTCCCAGATGATTGACATCACCCCAATCAACACAGCCCTCCAAGC